CCTTCCAGCATATGGGAGGTTGTATACGAGACCGCTGGGAAGTGTGATACGATTGTTATAGTAACGTCTATGGGATAATGCAGGGAATGTGCCACCTTTGCGTGTGGGATTATTGGAGCCTCAGCATGAAAACAACTACTGACATTAAAAAATATTCTGATGCCAACGCGCATGTGACTGAAGACCTCACCTGTGTGACCTACCCGAAACAATGCACCTGCTTCAAGTACAGCCGGGCCGAGGCGGACGACGCGAAGTGTTTAAAATTACAGATACCATATTCGCCAAACGGGAAGGGCTGCGCATGGCTGCTCTCGCAAGGAGTTCTTATTGACGGGTTGGCCAGCCCAGGTTTGTCTAATGCGCAATGCAGCATTGCAAAATGATACGAGTTGTAGTCTTAACTATTCAGTTCACTGCCCAGGCGGTATCGGTTGCAAGGACAACGTGTTAACTGCCTTGTTGAACTCAAATGACTTGATGTACCTGGCATGAGTGGTGCCCAATGCATGCCAAGTCCACTTTGAGGCTTTGACGCGACTCACTTTAATCGTGCAACAACCACTGACGAGCAATCAACTGGGGCACATGGCGGCCACTTTGCTTGGTGTCCAAGGCTGCAGAAAATCGATGATGCCCAAGTGGAGCACCTTCAGTGACTTCAGTGGGTGCTTTGGCAAGCTTCCCCCCAGATGTGGTCCAGTTAGCCCACAGGTTTGCTGGTATGTTCAATATGGTTGCCATCATTCTGAAAAGGTTGTTCTTTCTCAGGGGCGGACCACCAGTTCCCCCGTCGTCTTATCGAGCATGGCCCATCGACCTAACAGTGCACCGGCAAATCTCCGAAACACCGTGCAGCAGTCTGGAGCGTCCTCGAAGTATCCCGAATCTGACAGCATTCCGTAGTTCAACCGAGCTGGATCTACAGGAAGGCTTCCAGTCACTACACGAGCTTCTACACCGTGCACTGCAACAGAATTGAAGTAAGGGAGCATTGATGATCAAGTATGGGTAGGTGTGCTGCCGGTGCAGGTGTGTGTGTGTATATTATATATATGTGTATATTATGTATGTGTATGTGTATGGATGTGTGTCTCTGCGTCTCTGCACGTGAAGATGTACGTATCTGTACAAACACATAAGTGCCTCCATGCACATACCGGATTCCACATGATGCTCCAGAATTAGGTTGTGCGTATGCAGATGTAAACTTAGACCCGTATGTATGAAGGCTTGTCTTTATTTTATATACTGATGCGTGTATTGGTTGTACACTGGCCTGTACGCTCCTCTGCTACGTCTTCTTCAATTGTTGCCCCTTTGACGTGCTGCAGTCATGCATGCATGGCGATTACTTGCGGTTTGCTGCGGGGCTGGCGCAAGCCACTTGCCGCTTCGCCGCGAGAAGCCACGGAGTCAAGGCCTCCTTCGAGTTTGGGGGTTGGAGAGGTTCAGGTGTTTAAGGGCGAAGGGATAATTGATCCATCAATTACGATGTCATCTTTCTTTCTGCAGGGCGTACGGGTCGGCGTCCCGACCCTCAGGCCATAGGCCCGCCCCACCACCCATTGTGTTAGTGAGTGGCAGGCTTCTCTCCATCTCTGTCTCCCTGTCTCTGTCTCTCTCACACAACCACCCTCTACCCTTTGCGAGCAAGCACACCCTGGTCTCCAAGGTCCACGCATTCGCCATCAGGAGGTCAGGACTGAATACACTACCGTCCTGGTCTGTCACCCCGTGCGTGGCAAGTACCACCCAAGCCGTTTTGGCTCGGACGTTCCAAAATGCAGGAACATGCAAGGCAAGTCGACTGCGCCCCGGACCCTTTACTGTGTAAGTAGATACGAGTACCGTACACATTCACAGTACAATCTGTTGCTTCCTTGGGAACTTCTGCCTCGTTCAGTGACCCGGGAGGTGCAGGCCCTGAAAGAAACTGGTCTGCCCTTCTTTAAGGCTTTTTTCCAGGGGCATATTCAGGAGGTGGCATGGACTTCTGTCCGTTTTGCTACCCGGCGGAGCTTTTTTGGTGTTCTTTGTCCTCTCTGCCAATGATCATACATAATTGAGTAGGAGGACCACGAGAAGAAAGACTCCTCCTTCCCGGCGTACTATTTCTTGGCGATTTGGTTGGGACTCGTCCCCATCCGACGGCTCTTCCTGAGATGTGCTCCCTCCTCGGCAGCGGTTTTCCCCGTACGGCGAAGGTATTCTCGAGTCGGCAGAATCAGAATTCTGTAGGTGGGCTCCGCTGTGCGATTGGGGTTTCCTGTCATATGGCTGTCTTGCTTGCTTGCTTTGCAGGACCTGTTGTTCGAATCTCAATCCATAGAATCCGTACAAAATGAAAATGTGGAGCTCTGTGTCCCAGTGTCGCATGTCCTTACGAACGAAGGTTTGAACAACATGACGACTGAAATTGCTTTGCATGGCTGCTTTTCCAACAAAGCAGCTGCCTGTGTCTATACGCGCCAGCACATACAGAGAGAGAGAGAGATACAGAGAGAATCCGAAAGAAAAAATAAGCTAAACAAGTAAGTATGTATATACATATAGTATACACACACATAAGATGGTAACATATGTAGACACTTTGTATTCTGCATGGTTCCCAGACCTGCTCCGCAATTCTTGGCGACTTCTGGGGGCAGCCGCCGCACGGCAACCAGCAAGGAGTAGTCCATGACGTTGTGGCCTTAGGCTTGAGCCGCTTCGTAATACCTCGCACCAAACTGATCATCTCAAAGCCCTGTCTTGTACAGTAAGTATAGTAAGGCCAGTGCTGATCAGCCAATCCTGAGCAAGAACGGCCGCACAAAGTCTGCTGTCGTTTGAACTTTGAACAAAGATGCGTGGATCCTATATCAAACGCAGACTTGGAAGGATCTTGAGTGATGCTGTCGCAGACCTTGCGACGTCAGACCAAGGGTCTGCATCAGACTTGATGAGCTGCATCACCTCCTCGCGATGGGAGTCAGCTACGCCAAGCCTGAGCGGAGTGCGCATAGGCTTTGGTGTTCTTTGAGAGCATCGCAGCCCAGGTAGTGCCCACCGACCGCATAATCGCAGGGCAAGTGGTGACTCACAACATCTTGCCAACGCACCACTGACTCATTCGTGGGCACCGTTGTGGATCTCCGAACCATGTTGATTCCCGTGGCAGGCCCTTTGAGCGTCTTCTTTCACCGCCAAAGAAGCACACATCATAAGCCTGATGTGAATACTCAAGACACATTTCTGTTTGACGAGTATCAATATCTTTCTACAACTTTCTGTGGAAAAGGGAAAGGGTCTGGAAGGCCTGAAAGCTTTCCTCCAATGTACAAGGACTGCCCGCCCTGCACCGTAACAGCGGTCATTGACTTTTGCATGACTAGTGACATGATGCCACCATCCGACGGGTGATGTCATATGATATATGACCGGATCATCAGGACATCATCGAGCATGATTTGATCCTTTCACGCAGAGGTATGGAGACGTGACTTTCGTCGAATCAGCGTGACTCAACGCTCTCAACACCTGACCACCACCCAAAGCATATGCCGGAGCGGCAACGAACATGCGACCGGGATGCCGCAACGATCTTGCCTGAACCTGGCATGGCTGCACGACAGAAACCGATTTGGAGCATCAACGACCCGACATTGCCTTGCCCTGATAGTACAACCATCGCTCGGGTGACCACCTAAGGTTCGAGAGTCGAAAGGCAATAGCAGCAGGCTGGAAGAGGTGAGCCCTGCCAAGCTCCCAACATGCACTGGCACCACATGTGTGGGCCTCAGATTCAAAGATTCGCGCACGTGTGTGAGGAAGCCCTTGAGGCTGCTGCGATAGAAGCGCTTCCGGACCGGATTGATGGGCTTGCCATTGAGCTGCGAACATCAGCACTCGAGCGAAGGTCTCTTTGGTGCTTCCAGGCAGTGGGGCCCATTGGAGCCTCAATAGTCTTGTCATCATCACAGCCCTTGAGGTCGTATTTCACTGCCCAAGGTCCAACCTGCGTAGCTGGATCAAGGCCATGCTGACAGCTTGCATGCTCTGATGGCGGCCTCTGTCAGGTTGCGCATGGCCATGAAGAAGCGGCCTGTGGCAACGTCCTTGAAGTGCAAATAGATCGGGCCTCAATCTCAACACTATCAAAGGCCTCAATGGGGAGTCCTGGTGGCACCGACAAGCATTTGTCGCAAACAGGCCTTTTTCAGACTCTGGGGCTGGCGCACATCAGGGTGCGGTTGTGAAGCCTCGCTAGTTACCGCTAGTTGCTACTTTGAACAGGGGAACGGCATTTTCAATGGCACTAGTTCCCTTCATCTTTACTCAAAGCGGCATTCTTTCCACCAGTGGGCCGGCCAGTCGAAGCAATGCCTTGTGGTCATCCTTCGAGAGCGTCTTTACCACCTCGAGAGGTGTTAACATTCCCATGCCCGTCATGCGGCCTCCACAGCCTTGCCGAAATCTTGTCACCCTCCCTAACCCGACCAAGTCGGTGTCGAGGGACATAGCGCCGGCAACTGCTGTTGAATTGCTCGCTGCCTGAGGACGCCCGCAGGTATGGACATGATGAAGATATCTGGCAACTCATTGTGCGAACATGATTCGCCAAACAGGTTCTGGAACAAGATCTGGACAAGATAGACAGGACTGGTTACCTTGAAGAACATAGAATAATATCACTACTGAGCATCATTGAAGCAGCAATGATCCGTGCTGGCGAAAGCCTCGAACATCCGTGGCGAGCCACGAAAGGAGACCTTAAGTGTGAGGGAGTCCCTTGGGCCTTGCGGAGCTCAACGTTTGAGACGGTCGTGAGGGCTTAGGGTTGAGAATGCTACGAGTATCGATTCTACATTCATTCGCAGTGCAGTGCTCCGGTGCTCCCCCCCGAAGTGGCTCGAGCCGCGCTGCCTCCTTTGCCAAGTGTCGACTCCATCCTCGGGAGCTCCAGGTTCAGGGCCTCGTGCAACAGAACATGGGCATCCCAAAACCCCCCCAAACATAGCAAATTAGTAAGGTGCCTAAAACAAATCCGGAATAAGGTGCCCCTCGTTTGAAGAGCATCCCCCATATCGCCCCACACAACTCTCGAACCACCAAGCATGTGTGGAGACTGGCTGAACTTCACCACGCGATCCGCGACGTCAGTGCCGCAAAGGCCGAGGCTGGGGTTGTTTCAGGACAGCGGTCCGAGCAAACTGTGGATCTGCGACGCTCGATTCTAAAAGTGGGCCATTGAAAGGTTTCAGTGTGCTCTAAACTCAGCCATTTGTCTTCTAGCGATTGATAAGACGATACCTGGTCACCTGAATGGTTTGCGTTCATTCATGACTATTCTTGCAACGGGCCTGTTGTCCCACTGTAAATGCAAGCCTCGTCTACATGCTTATCGGTGCTAATACTCTGCACGAATATTCACACACTTCTTTTCGCCTGGCAAACCCTTGGACGGATGCTTAACCGGAGACAAATGCAAAGCTACGCAAATCGTTGCCGGCACACAGGATTTGCGGCGGCCTCTGTCTCCCCACTCTCTAGGAAGTCTTCCGGCACCTTCGCTGGAGATTGCAGATTGAAGATGTTGTGCACGTCCATTTAGCCTACCATCCGGTCGTGCTCCGAGCTGGGCTGATGAAATCCATCATGAATCCAAGATGCGATGGGATATTGGCTTCTGAACATCGCAACTGCATGACTTGCAAACAGGAGTTGTTTGTGACGCTGGCAAGACAAGTAGACCGATCGCGAACTTCTGCCTGAGCCCTGCTTACTTACGACTCCCTATCTGCGAAAGGCGTGTCAGGCTGTTGCGTCTTGTTGCGAGACATGCGCACCCTAGTGTTGTCGCGACTTGCACAACACAGTTGCACTACAGTTGCGCACAAGAGCTGCCCACCTGGTTTAACAAAAGACTCAGAGTTTTAGCGCAACCCTTCTCAGGAATGTCGAGCTCGACCGGCAAGAGAAGGCACAGCTGCGGGTTTTCGGAAAGCAGAGCCCGAAGCACGCCATGCAGACTTTATGTGCTTCTGCAAGCGGAGTTCCCCAGAGTTTCCATCCAACGTCATCCAACCTTTGGTGCCGAGCTTTTTGCGGATGAGGGGGAATTGACAGACTGAGAGTGTCGTGGACCGTTGGAGTGGGAAATGTCCGCCCCTTCAAGCTTATGGCTCAACACCGTGCAGGTCACGGCTACAGGCTGCTTGATGCTGCTTGCATATACTTCTGGTGATGCACTTATCGACGGATTTGAAAATTAGCACTGACCCTCCTAAAGCCGTTTGCTCAGCAAGTGCTTGCGTCGCATGAGTCGCAGGGCAGAGCAGCTCAGCAAAATCGATCGGCCGGATGGCGAAACCATGTAAACAGCACAATCAATCATGAAAAATGAAGGACGGGACGCACTCGGCCTGATCTTGAGTCGGGCGTGGCGGCATGGCGTAGCCTTGAAGACGGCGGTCCATGTCTCTGTGGATGAGTCTGCACAACTCGCGGGCAGAAGCCCACCCGAAGCATTCCGGACAGCCTCCAAAACCCGCAATACTTGACGTGACTAGCAGAGCACCTTGTGTTTTTCGCGAAGCTCCTTGAAGTAGTGGTCATTCAATACCTGTCTGGTGAGCAGCAAATCAACATGAGAGTTATAAACACACCTTCTTAGTTGACCTTGCTCGTTGAACGCACTCCGAATGCAGTCTGGCTGACATGAAGCGTCCTACGCCCTCAGTACTCAGCGCCCTAAATCCTGGGCTTCTGCCGGAAGGCTCTGGTGACCCGCATGACATTGGCCTCAACCAGGCGCCCCGCGATTTTTCGGCGGCTGGCCTTGCCATTTGACCTTTACAGCCACATTGACAGGGCGTGGGCCAGGTCCCTGTGACATGAAGGCTTCTTGCAAGACGGATCATCTAGACTGGGTCTACATCACGGTTTTACTAACTTCTGAAAGGCCCATATCAATCATATCAAGCCAGCCGGTCGCCCGGGCACCCGGCCCCTCTTGCAGGAGTGGCATACGTGCTCGCTCCAAGCAGTTGCACATCATGCTGCCGGTAGCGACCTGTGCACATCTTCCAATCCAAACCCCGAACACTGTAGCCAAGTGCACCTACGCAGACTGCAACATGACAGAGCCATACAGAGCCCAGGTTTCCGGAAGCGCCCTGCATTCTTTTGATTTTAAAGCTCGGAGATGTGGAATGGACCACAAATGCCACAACTTCGGCGCGAAAGGCCGATCCTCCATGTCCTAGCTTCTCTGTTTGCATCTTGCACTGCCAGACGGACACGGGGAAGCAGACGCCAAGCGCAAACGTCGTAGCAAGCCGTTGTCGCCATCACAGCCAGCATCGTTCCCAGCTCCAGATGGGTTTGAGGTCTGATGCTCTCGAAACTCAGCTCTTGGCTAAGGGCGCTTGGCGGCTAAGGGCATTGGAAACAGCTGTCCGTGCGCACCACAGACTTCTCCCACAGCTCCATCTCCGCTGACCACAGACAGCCTCATGAGCGCAGAGGTTGAGGCTTCAATCTCAATATCGAAGACAACGGCTTCCAAGCTTCGGGCAGCTTGCCTTATAGCTACTGGAAAAGCCAACAACTTGAATTCTTACAGCACACCGAACCGGTAAGGCACAGTAAACCGAAGTCCGTCCGCTCCTCCTCCCCTCCTTGGGTCCTTCCCTTCCACTGCTGCACTGTACTGCACTCCCTCCCACCCGTCTTGGCACCGCTCCTTGGGCCCGCTCGGCTGTAACCTTCATTCGTGCCGCCTGGAGGTCAAAGGGCGCTGGCCCACGAGTTCCCAGAATAGGATTGGGAAAGCATGCGCGTGTAAAACTTGCAAGAGCAGCGCAGGTCTCGACGGCGCATAACACCCACCAGTGATGGTCGGCCGCACTAGTTCTGGAAGGCCCGAAGAGTTTTGCAGCACCCACCACTCCCGCTCGCGAGCTGCGATTTTCTTACATAACAGAGATGCCGTGGGCTGGACACTGGACACCAAGTGCCCAAGTTCGCCGACCGAACAACCCCACCTTGGCTCTCGAGTTGGAAAGAAACGTCGCATCCCGAGTGAGAAGCGAAGACTTTCGCTGGAAGCAACGTAGTTCGGTTTGTCCCTGCGTGCGTACGTATGTATGTATGTATGCATGTCTGTATGTATAATATGTATGTTTGCACGTATATATGTGACCTGTTTGAACTCATCCCTTGTGCAAGCGCGGCTTCATCTCCGAGGCCTGCCCAGGCTCTAAACCTACGGATATCATCGTCCAACCCCAAATTCGCAAAACAAAGGCGCGAATCCAAGTCCAAGTCATGCTTGTGATGATGGTCTGCGTTGCCCAAATTTTTGTGAGGAAATTTCGAACACATTTCTATAAACCGTCTTAGGTTGCGACAGCGTGGGCCGGCCCCGTTGTTGTGCTCCAGCGGTGTTAGCCCTATAGATTTCGAAAGCGAACTATGCGCGGCACACTTAAGTGCAAAGAGCGAACACTCCGCAGGCTTCTCACGGTTTGCACACGTACACGTGCAAAACAACACGAGCCGAACTACGTTGCCTCCAGCGAAAGTATTCGCTTCTCACTCCGGCTGCGACTTTTCTTTTCGGCGCGCGAGCTTGGACACTTGGGGTCCAGCTCGCGGCCTTTCCGTTCTTTACGAACAGCGCGGCTCACTCCACTCGTGCGCGCTGTTCCGCCACTCTCTGCGCGCCCAGTTCGGAGGCGAACTTCTGGAACCGCTTGAACGAGTTGGATTGGAGTCTGCGAATGCTCAGATCCACCGATAACCCTTGCGGAAGTCGACGTCAGCGAACTTGCAACTAAGGCGCTCTGGACGTCAGCTGCCGAAGTCACTCTTCGAAAAGAAAGGGTTATCCCCTGTAGTGACAAAAACCGCGAAACACCCCAAAACTTTAGTAAAAAAAAGTCCTTTGAGTAGCCGATGTTCAGTTCGTGTTGTGTGATGTTGTGTGCACGTGTCGAGTCTACGAAGAACAGCAGGTGCCATTTCAAGTTTTCGGCGACCGTCAGGTTTGCCAACACTTGAGCCAATATTTCCAACCAGAAAATGAACGCCTTCGACGTCACCGTCTTGCTCAGAATTTCTTTTGGCACTTCAGAACGAAAAGCGAGTCTTTGGCTGTGAGGAAAACTGCCAACTTTCGTCCAGCACGTCTCGCGGAACTCCATCTCGCATCCAGCACTTGGCTGCGCGTCTCGAAACTGAAATGGTGATGTATGCGTCTGCATACGAGACGAAACTGGCACCTCTGACGGCTTGAGAGGGATTTCCATCGGCCTCATGTCCGGCAACAAACTCGTCAACTCGACCAGCGCGAACTTGAGAGAGGAGCTGGGCGACATAGGTTTGTTGAGCCCACAGTGTTGCCTTGCGAACAGACGTTTCAAAAGAGCCTTCCCGACCTGGCCGAACACCCACGAACAAGCTAAACTAAGCTTTTCGGCGAGCTTGGCCGCGTCCTGTGGGTGCAGTTGGTCCTTGTCGAGTATGTCTTTGATCTTGGCGACCAACTTCTCGATCCGAACACAAAACATGCAAAAGGGAAAATGCATGAACGAGTGAGAAATGTGGCTGTTGCATTCTAGTGCTTGAAAAAAGCTGGTTGGTGAAACTCGTAATGCAAATCAACAAACGTTGCAAGACAGCTGCCGCTGCTCGTGCAAAACGGTGTCGAAGAACTAGTTGTCAGCGTGGTGCACAGGAATCGGATTCGGCGGAATATCGTGCAGTGGCAGCAGCGGATTGAGGCGCAGCCATGGTATTCAGCGCAGGTGGACGATGTTCTGGCGGATGGCTTTGAGGAGTCGCGTGAGGTTGAGGTGCTTTGGAATAAGGTCCTTCGGACCGGGCAAGGGCTTTCGGAGTTTTACTTGAAGACGATGTGGAAGATCGTGGAAGAACACGATGTGGTACAGCAGAGTTGACGGCTGTGGTGGACAGGCGGAGAAATGGCAGCACATCGTGGTTGAGCCGTGGCATCTGAGGTATGTGGAAGATTGTTTGCCGGCGGCTGGGTTTGAGGAGTCGATCGTGGTTGCGGTGTGTTGGAGGGAAGGTCCTTTGGAGTTGACAGGGGACTTAAAGTCGCAAAGGAAGACGAAGTGGCGGAACACGACTCACGACGTGTAACAGCGAAGCTGATGCCGATGGTGGTGCAAGTGGATTGCGGTGGAGCCACGGGATGTGAGGTAGGTGGAAGATTTGTTGGCGGATGGGTGTAAGCAGCCATGGTTGTGGAGCGTCGAAACAAGGTCCGGCAGGCATCTAGTTATAAGGGTTTAGCAAAGGAAAGCAACACGAGGCGGAAGCAAACGACATGGTGAAACGGAGTTGGCGCCAACATCGGAATACCGTAGTGTTTTGCCAGTGGATGGAAGATTCCTGATGATATGCTGGCCGGGAGCGGACTGCGGAGGTTGGGCTCTGAGGCACCAACGTCGACTTGAACTCGACCAACGGATACTGTAGCAAGAGCAAATGCAAGGGAGGTGATAAAGTTCCAACCGGATTTCAGAAAATGCCGAAGCCCCGAGCACGCAAATTTCAAGTACCCAATGTTAGTCCTTTCTGAATGCCGAATCCAACGGCTTGACCCTGAAGCTCCTGAGGTTCTCAGGCCCGGACTTCAAGTCGACTGCGAAGTGTCGGCCCCAAGCAACGTGCACGGCTCCGGCGGGCAGACCTCATTCCACCAACACCGGGTGTCGTGCTCTGGGCAGCTGGTAATCTCGCTGAACGCCTCCTTCCAGGCATCCTGCCAAATCTCAGTCCACTTCGGGAATGACTCCGAAGTAACCTCTTCCAACTCGACGAGAGCGCACTGGCTGCAATTTTCATACTGAGCGAAATGAAAGTTCGCGGAGTTCGCAAAGCCAACTACTGCCAACTTCAAGCTTTGAGGATCCCACAGCGGCTCCAGCGAGAGTGCAGCCACAGGTGCCACCATGGGTACGAATGGGGATGGTCGCTGCAACCAATAGTATTTAGACCATTGAAAGTGCACTCCCAACACACGCCCATCATCGGTATCTCGTGCACCACGTCCACCCCCCAAGAAGCTCTGGTCAACAGTTTTGAATCCCAAAAGCGCAGGAGGGTAACGTGAGAAACTCCAACGGCAGCCCGCCAACTCCCAAGCCGGACGCCAGAAGGCAACCGTGCCACACGGAAACAAAGGTGTCGGCCTCTGCGCGTTCCTGAGCAGCATCTCCAAGACCACCAGGGCACCCTTGCGGCACTGCGACTTATCCAGGAAGAGCGCCGACTCGTCCACCTCCCACTCGTCAGCCGGCGCCGAGAGTCCGAACGACAGCCAGGCCTTCGGATAGTATGACAGGTCCTGTACACGGGAGCTACCCGCATGGAAGAAGGCGCTGGCTCCATCGCGCATCCAGATCGACTCAGTGCAGACATCTTCGAAGGCAACGTAGTCAGGGAACATGAGCAAGACCTGAGAGAAGTTGCTCAGATGCACGGCGACTGGCGGCAAAGAATAAGCAACAGGATCCCCCTTCAAGCAATGGACGCTTGCATCCTCCAGGTCCGCTGGCACAAAGCTCTTCAAGCTGGGCTCTGACAGAAGAGGATCCTCCCTTCTAGCTGTGTGCACATCAATAGACTCAACATCAAGCTCGGAACGAAACAGCATCTCCACTTCTTCTGTGATGCTCTCTCTCCCCAAGTGCCACAGCTGAATTGGCCACTGGCACCCCAAGCTCCGCAGAGTTCGGAGACTCGCCCATGCCAGTGCGACATGCTCCCAACCTGCGGCCACCATCACCACGCCCAACATCCTGCACACCCACGTCCTAGCCCCTAGGCTTGCAAGTTGTCGAGAGAACTCTTGCGCTGATCATGAGCCTCTCTGATAAGGAAACGAGCGCACCATGCCAATCAGTTTGTTAGGGTGACAACGGGATGCAGTATTGGAGACACCTCAACATAGCCAGCAAGTCCAAAGAGCATCGTACATGCCAGGTAGGGACCTGATTTCTACCTATTGGGTCATGGTGTGGCCAGCGTGCATCCAAGCTTGTCCTATTCACAACCAACTTCACAACGAACTTGAGCCTGAGGGAGCACTATTATGCCTCTCTGCAAGGCCGTGCAGAAATCCTGCACTATGAGAGTGGTTGTTGGGCGGCGGCGGCGGTGGTGGTGCTTCGGCTGCAGGATTGCTATACGGATGCTCAGCCAACGGTCAAACTTGCTTAAGGACCTACTTTTGTACAACTCAAACAACAGCTCTCTTTAGATCACATACTCAGGTATAAAACAGACTCATAGACCACAGATGTGTATAGCTTCGGACTTGCACAATGTTCATTGAGGTTTTAACTGCTTCGTAGCTTCGGTTTGAGGGCAGACCAGTCTTCCACAGCTCTCAACATCCGGAGTCTCGGGAAAGCAGTCGGAAGCGCCTGCTGGAGTTTGACGCCGGAACAATGCCTCCCACTTCCATGCTTGATGTGATGCGCGTGAGATTTAACTTTGCCACTGCTACAGAGACCGAGTTCTGGAGTGGCCTCCTTAGCATTGTGTCGTCAGTGATAAACTCAGATTCTGCTTACTGTATTGGGTGCAATTCCGCGGAGCCTTCCGGCTAGCCGAAAACACTCGCCGTGTACCCGGAGCGTGACGAAGCGCAACTCAAAAGCCGTCCAACAGTTTAAGCGCAAGGGTGCATAGGCTCGTGCTGTTGTCATGGGGTTGAACTCCAATAGCAAGCTGGATTCAACCACTTTGATCTAAGCCATTCGTGACCAGCACTGCTTCAAAAAGCAGCAAACATAAACGGTGGCATGGGGTTGGGTGAGGCTTGCGATCTTGGACCAGAAGCTGCCACAACGCACCGCAGATTTAACTCTTGCACATGTTCAGAGCCCTGCAGTCATGTTGTGTTCCGGTCATGTTGGATCCAGATGCTGGCGAACTGCAGGCAGCGCCAAGTCAAGCGTATGCACATGCTGCATGCTGGTCTGGCGTGCGCGAAACACAGCCCATCGCATGCCAGGGTGAAACGATGCCTTGGACAGGCTTGACATGTACCGACTCGGTGATACGTAGTGGCGGCAAAGGGTCAGCCCAGCACACGCCCGACGTGCCAGTCGTGCCACCCTTCTCGGTTCCTGGAGCAATGTTCCGGCTGCGCAGAGTGGCAGCGGGATAACAGAAACTTCGCTCAATGCCTCGTGAAACGCTCGCGGATTATGCGGTTGAGCTGCCGATGCTCCCTTGCCTTGCACGTATCAGCAGGAGTGGACTTGCGCCGGGGATGAGTGGCAGGTCTTAGATTCGAGCCTTGCTGGAGTCGCAGCTTTCGGCGCTCGGTGCCTCCGCAGGATGCATAGGATGCACGGCACAGGCGAGGTGTCCCGGTCTGATCCTCCGTGGGAGCGGCAGACCTGCAAAAAGAGGCAGAAAGACTCTCGCGGAAGCTCTCGGGCCGCTCGCGGCCGCCTCGTATAGGGAGTGCCCGGGATGCTGGGGGCTTGCGAGACGCTGTCCCAAGCCTCAGCAACAGCTCAGCGCCAGTTTCAGGTCACCAAACAGGAACACAAGTACTCGGTCAATGCCTCAATGCCAGGGGTCTCCAGCACCTGACCCTTTGCAGCACCTTCACAGCACGAGATCTGTTGACAGTCAAGTCAGTGGGCCAAAAGGGTGCATGCTAGCTGCAAACCTCTTGCAACATCAACTCAACTGCACACCTTGTTTAAATATGGGCACACGTCGATTACTGCGAAGAGAAGAAGGCCTGCTTCTAACTTCAACGGGCAGAGGCCGCCTTTTCTGGTCAGCTGCACAGATGCCGCAGCGCGGACCTCCACCACGGCATTGCGGCCAGTCGGGACAGCACAGATTGCCTTGCCAACCCAAACCGCCCTGAAGCCGGAAATTGAAAACAAACCCAAAAATAGCTGGAACTGCATCTAAGAGTGCCCGGCCGCAGAGCCGGTCATTGCCCGCCAAGCTCGCTGCTCTGCAGTCTGCGGCTGCCACAGTGGCCCTGTTGTGGAGAGCTTGGGCGTGACCACAAACACAACGTTATTTTGGAAACTCTTCCAAAGCCATACTAGTCGGATATTGATTGACGCAGCGTTAAATTAAAAACTGTCATCCATCCCCAACCCTCAGCTCGGTATCGGGTATACTGTTTCTGTCTGAGGCAGGCAACTGGGCGGGTACTCGTCCAAATCTCTATTTCACACCCTGTTCTAGACCAAAGCGAAGCCTGGCGAGCCCACTGGCCAGATGCCATGATCCGGCCGCTTGCCGCGTGTCTTTGGCAAATCTGCAGTTGGGAGCTGCATTGGCTGAAGTTTGGTAGCAACTTCGGAGATGAGCAGGCTTGCATCAGTTTTGCAGCCCCGAGGGGGTTCCGTCGTCTCGGAGCTTGGGTTTTGAAACACGTCTTCTTCGCTTTCGGTTGTCATGGGCAAGGGCATGATGGCAGTTATAGCAGTCATCGTCACCGCTTTAGTCAGCATGGAAGCAATGCCGTTGTCGCTGACATAGTGACATAGTGCTGACGGCAAGTGAAGCAGCCACGAGAAGCGGTGAAGGAAGTCATAGTTGTCATAACTAGGTCATAGTTGATGGAACGGAACGACGACAAAAACAAAAGCTGCAGCAGCCGCCTCAACAGCAGCAACGACGACGAAAACGACAGCAGCACTGAACACACAAAGACACATGCACACCACGCCATGACGACGACGACGACAACGACGCCGACGACGACCACAGAAACAGAAACAACAGCAACAACAACAACAACACCAGCAGCAACAGCAGCAGCAACAACAACAACATTGGGTAACGCTGCACTGGTGGTTGTTGCTGATTGCACCTATCTGCCAGAGTACCACCACGCTCTGATGCCATGGTGAGGATTCCAGCTGCCACGACGGACCCAAGAACTCCTCATGAGGACCACCAGCTGGCACGAAGACCCAGGTGCACCCTCCCCCCTTCGCAGGTACGTTTTCACGCCCTGTCACTGGTAGTCTTCGCTGAAGTACCAGTGACGGGCCCTCAGCCCCCTGCGAAAAGCTATAAGCACTCGAAAGTCCTAGATTGTTGTAGACTTGAAGTGGGTGAAGTCATGTCCGCGGACGGCCCATAGTTTAGCTGTCAGGGTGTAACAACAACAAAGACCCCACAGCGTGGGGCACACGTCACTTGCGTGTCGCAATCCAAAGGCAGAGCTTGATATCTTACAGCAGCATATGGGAAACTCCAGGCTGCTGCGAGTTCCGGGGCTGGTGTTCATCACTCTATCCCATCTTGTCTAAGTTGAGGTCGCTGCAGAAGGCAGTACATGGGAAGCTCCAGGCTGCTTCCGGGGCTGATATTCACCACTCTATCCCTATTTACGACTCTATCCCACCTTGTATGAGTTGAGGCCGCTGCAGAATATTGGCACCGAAATGCTAAAGCGGTACGGATCATCCACACATGGTTAAACCTCCTGTTGCTCAACGCACGTTCTAGTATCAGCAAGGTGGTGAAGGGCATAACCCTTTTCAAGCCGTCCATGAGATGAACCACTTATGGACTTATGGAACAATCCACGACGATCTGTCAGCACGCTGTATATCCGTAAGAGGATTCAATCACGACGCTGTGTAGGCTTTGTTGAGAGCGCCCAGGAGTGCGGAGCCGCATGTCTTTGCTGCAAGATGTGTTTGCCAGCGCCCCGCCGAAATAGTCGTTGTAGACGAGACCATGATGCAATGTGTGTGGATGCAAGCTTGTAGGATGAGACACAGCAGCAAGTTAGCAAACACAGTGTTTTTCGCAGGACTGCATGTATACGTAGTGCCTCATGTCTTCGGAGTCGAAAAAATGGCCCAGGCAAGCTTTACAGGTCAGGTTAGACGGTTAGATGATGATATGAATTTCCTGCGCCATGTCTTCATGTTGTGCTGGATAGTGGTCAGAAGTAGGCGTCTCCGCGTCGGAAGAAGACTGGGAAGCACCAGCACAGGTCCAGATGCAGCCGTGCCTGTGCAAGCACTGTATACACCCCGTCTGATTCAAGCGTTGGGTACCCTTGAAGGTGAGCTTGGGCAATGACTGCGTGCACAGGTGGCAGATGCTTCTTCTGAGACTGCGGCATCTGTGGGCAGCAGCAACAGGTTCCTTGCATGGCAAAGTCATAGGTTTTGGGGTTCTTGAACCAGAGTTCATAGCCCATCCTTGGCAATTTGTACGAGAAGAATGTCAGGATCTGCGAGACTTTTGGATGTACACCACATATCATACAATGCCGTTGCTGTTTTGCAAAGTCAGCCAGGCCCATTGTGGAACGTCTGGTGTGCCTGTGCAAGCACACGCCGAGCATCTGTCGCGTCATGCGAGAAAGTGATTTATTCAAGTGTCTGATGATTCGGTCTGTAGGCTTGTGGCAGCATTCCCACAAGCTGTCGATATGGCAGCATCGCTGGCCGTGTACGTCCCTTGCCCACATGCCCTCTTAATTTTGGAGGGCAGTGGCAGTGGCCGCACTGCGCATTTCCGAGATTGCTTCGCGGGCGTCATAGTGCAGCTTGGATCCACGGCCGTGAGCTTTTGGTGGCTTCTGGAATCCCCGAACCAGATCAACAGCTTGTGTCTGCAGAAGTGTCCGGCCGAACGGCTGACTGGAACTTAAATCCGGAAAGCCTTCTTGCCTTAGGTCGGAAATTGCAAGACTTGCTGAGTTTTACAACCTCAAATGCTATGGCAGCAGCGACGCCCACTGCCAACTTTCATCTCCTTATCTTGTACAAGATGCGTGAAACATACTGCCGCACCGTTGCTCTCAAAGTTCAGGTAGAACATTCAGCTTAGGGCTGCCACGGCATTTCAAAGCAATGAGTATGCACTGCAGAACTCTGAAACTCATCATTACACAAATGGGAAGGAACATGACAACGAAGAAAATAGTTGGGTGCACCGGAAGTGGCCGTGGCAGGTGTGAGTGCAGTGACAGGTGGAGTGAGAAAAGTAGATTGAGGGGTTTCAGGTGAAATGACACTTGTCGATGGTGACCCTTGCGCGCCGACCATCATTGCTTGGTACAGCAAAGGCAAAACATGCGTCACAAACAAATCTTCCAAACTCCATCCGGACCGTCATGTCCCCTGCCGGCACAGAAAGGCAGCTGCTGGAGGTAGCTGCGGCGGCGGAAGCAATAGCCGAGTGTGGAGGGAAGACCGGTGGGGGAGGAGGGTTGACGGAGTGAAGATCGCAGCGGGTCAGGTGCAGATTTCTGCATCCGCACTGCCGGAAAAAAGGGCGGAGGGGGACGGGTGGGGTGCAGGGTGCATACCGAGCCAGACAGGCGGGGAGGGGTGGATTTGCAGCCCCATCCCGGAAGGGGCGAGCGGCGCCAGACATGTTGCATTCCGAATCAAATGTCTGACCAGAACCTGTAAACACCAACATGTCATGATTCATGCGCAGTATGCACTTGCTGAGCTGAAGCTGCAGGCAGAACAGTGATCTCAGTCGACATGTCATGTCATGAACATGAGCATATGCACTTCTGAGGGCAAGACGGTCCTTTGTGTTTGAAATGCAGAGCACGAACAAGTGAAGTCTGCTACTGTCGACTAACCTGAACTACTATGCGAGACTCAAGGCGATGTAGATGGCATGCAAATGTGGCCCCGAAGTTCGCGGGGGAGATGGCGTACGAGTAGGAAAAACAACCGGTCGCAAACCTCCTACACATTGGTAGTCAAATGCACAGCACGAACTTGCCACTCTCTGAATAATTTGAACTGCCCGAACAACTTGACAAGTGTAGGCCGCAACGTATGAACAAAGGATGACCATGTCGAATGTACAGCTGGGTCAAATCTTCCAACTGTGGAACTATATATGAACACGCGGTCGAGTGAAGCGACAAACAAGAAGAGCTCGAGATCCAGAACCTGCCATTGCAAACGACAAGGAGTTGGCACTGGCAGAGCTGCGAAACTGACTGGCATGCGTAGTAGGCAATCGCATCGTGATGCTGCGTTGCGCTGCGTCAATCCGAAAACCCAACATGGTTCCGACGAATCACAGGATCAGCAGAAAGAAATGCTCGATTGTCGACGTATCGAACAGCGCACGGGAAGAGCCGCGAAGACTGCAAGAACTGTGAACAGTTCTCACGAAAGAATAATTCTTGAACCGCAGCAACACAACGGCAAAGAATCGGTGCGCAGGGCGAACCCATGCTGGCTGATGCGAACCCGAAGACGCCTCCACCTGCCTCGAAAGGCTCGAGTCAAGCAAGCGAGTAGCAGACTGTGACGAAACTGAAAGAAAGGCATTCGGATCAGTAAGATCTTGAAGTCGTCGAAAACGTGCAATTAGAATCTGTGCAGACGAAAGAGCGCGAGAGTGTGGAACCGCATTGTAGAAACCAGCGATATCTTGTTGTTCCAACGTGAGATCGAAATGGTGATGCAGAGAATGCATCACTTGCCAAACTGTACGCAGAATGCTGGGAACAGTAGCAAGAAAGTCATCCTGGGTGAACACTGTCTTTGCAATCGCATTCAATGCCATACTCAACAAATTGCCCAACGCCGTGATCCAAGTGCGAGTGTACGATGCAATGGGCCTTGCCTTCATCTAACCTTTGCTTTCCTTGGGGAGACTGTACGCATAAGGCAATGAACGTCTCCAACGAAATGTCCACCCAGCTGCACTTTTCAGCCATCTAGGTTGAGCTAGACGCAGATCGTCAAGCACGACATGACTCGGCTGTGCACAAAGACAGACACAACACAGAGTCACACAAGGTAGAATGTAGGAGACGTCCGAAATGAACAGGACACAACACATGAAGTGTGGAGGCTGCATGATCTGCTGGTAACAAAACCAACCTTCGTAATTGGCGTCGTTCCTGATGTTCCTGGGAAATATCAGGTTGCTGGGTATGTGTCTGCCACTACTGCATGAGGAAGATGTTCCAGCGGTCAAGAACAGTGTCATCCAAATCTCAGCCTGTGACCAACGGCTGATCTGAAAGGACATATGAGCGAAGAACGTCTCTTCTGTGGGCAAAGTAGTATCCGCAAGATTTCGCGACCCCAAGTTCATGGTCGTGACATCGGAAGCGCGAGCAAATGTATGTCCTGAATGTCCTGAAGCCGTCTTACCTGAAAGCAACGCACGCTGAAGCCACCCTTTGTAGTTGAAAGTCGTAGTGGTCAGTGATGGGTTGGAAACCCCAACAACTGGGCGAATAGGGCAATGAAATGGTGGAATGAATTCACTATGATGAAGACAGAAGTCACGAATCCAGTAGGCTGCTTGCTCCACAAAG